TTTTGTCTTTTAATTAGAAAGGTTTGTTGTTTATATTTATTATGATAATTGAGGTATATGGACTTGTTTGTGATTTCTATTTGTCTTTTTCTAAATTTGTTTAACTTCTTTTAAGGGCATTGACTTTTTTTTCATGTTTAGCAATCTTTAATTCAAATATGAAAGTTCAGTACAAGCTATTTGTAGGGCTTGGGACTTATTCTTTTAAAAACGAGACTGGAAGAATGCAACAATAATTGTCCTTTCGCGATTGGCTTATTACATTTAACACAATTTCTTCAAAGTTCAACCATTATTATTATGTAGTGTGTGTCAGAATTACCTTCTCAACCATAAAAGATCCCGTATAGCCACATCAATCTTGAGAAAGAAGAACAAAGTTAGAGATATAACACTACCTGATATCAAACTATACTCCAAGCCTATGGTAATCAAAACAGCACGGTACTGGCATAAAAACAGACACATAGATCAATGAAACAGAATAGAGAGCCCAGAAATAAATCCATGCCAATATGGTCATTTAATCTATGACAAAGGAGGCAAGAATATACAATGGATTAAGAGGGTCTTCAGCAAATGGTGTTGGGAAAACTGGATGGATACATGCAAAAAAATAAAACTGGACCACCTTCTTATACCACATACAAGAATAAAGTTAAAATAGATTAAAGACTTAAATGTAAGACCAGAAATCATAAAACTTCTGAAGAAAACATAGGCAGTAAACTCTTACACTGCTATTAGTAATTTTTTTCTAATACATCTCAAAGAAGGGAAACAAAAGAAAATAAATGAGACTACATCAAACTAAAAAGCTTTTGCACAGCAAAGGAAACCATCAACTGCAGTAAACATAGGGATATGTAGATCTTAACGAATTTATCCAAAGAAAACCAAAACGCTAATTCATAAAGATCTATGTTCACTGCAGCACTGTTCACAATAGCCAAGATATGGAAGCAACCTAAGTGCCCAGCAATAGACAATTGGATAAAAAAGTTATGGTACATATATACAATGGAATAGTCCTCAGCCATAAAATGAAATCTTACCTTTTATAACAATATAGATGAACCTAGAGGGTATTAGAGAAAGATAAATACCATATGATTTCACTTATATGCAGAATCTAAGGAAAAAAGAAACAAACTAAACAAAAACAGACTCATACAACTTACATATACAGGTAACAAACTTGGTGATTGCCAGAGGGGAACATAGTTGAGGGCTGGGTGAAAAGGTGAAAGAATGAAGAAGTACAAGTTAGTAGTTACAGAACAGTCATGAGGATATAGAATACAGCATACGGAATATAGTCAGTATTGTAATGGCTGTGTGTAGTGCCAGATGGGTATAGAGTAACTGAAGGGATCACTTCATAAATTATATAAATGTCTAGCCATTGTATTGTATAGCTGAAACTAATATAAAATTTTTTTTTAAATCATATAGGAAATAGCAGATGTCCATTTTGACCTATTCACCAGGTTTGGAAAGTTAAGTAATAGGAGATAAGACTGGAAAGTTTGACCGAAGCCAAATTGTGGTGGGTCATAGATGTCAAGTCCTGTTCTTACTATAGGCACTTCTGCCTCCTGCGTGCAAATAAATAGTCCACCCTGTGAAATGGAATGACTTTAAGAACAGCTATAAAGCTGACTTTCTTTCTAGAATGTTTTATTTCATAAGAAAAGCAAATCTTTATTACATCTCCTGGTTTTTACTTTTCCTCAAGAGGAAATGGTGGCCATGGTCATAACTTTCAGCTGCCCGGACCACCAATGCATAAATAACCCAGGTGACAAACAAAACATTAACCTTTAAGCTACATACTGGGATCTTTTAAAAATGAAAATGTGCTTGGAAACTGAAGAAAGTAAGTCTAATCTTCTCTTATCAGTAAATCAATAAATGAAATACAAAAAGAATTACCCTCTCTTTTTAAGAAATTTACTTTTAATACACATAACAAAATTTATCTTCTTAACCATTTTTAAATGTGAAGTTCAGTAGTATTAAGTACATTCATATTGTCCTACAGCCAATCTCTTGAACTCATCTTGCAAAAAAACTCATCCTGAAATTTTATACTCATTTCTGAACTGTTACTACTCAACACTTCTGACACCAAATATGTGGGTTTTCTTTCACTCACACAAACCAGTTCTCCAGCTCTCCAGACATTAAGCCTAGGATGCCCATTACCCCCTCCTCTGGCTCAATTTGTTAGATTGGCTCACAGACTCATGAAAGTGCTTTACTTCTTCATTTATTATAAAGGATACAACTCAGGAACAGCCAGATGAAAGATGCTAGGACAAGGCATGCCCTCTCCAGGCATACCACCCTTCTAGCATCTCTGTGGTGCACCAACCAGGAAAATCTCTGAATGCCATTGTTTAGGGAGTTTTGTTGATGCTTTATTTTGTTGACGTGGTTGATTAAATCTTTGGCTATTGGCAATTAACTCAATATTCAGCCCCCTTCCCTCCCTGGAGGTCAGAAAGTGGAGCTAAAATTTCCAACCATCTCATCATGCCTTGGTTGTTCTGGCAACCATCTCCCCTCCTAAAGATAACTAGGGGCCACTGGTCATCTCATTAATATACAAAAGATCACTCAAGAGATTCCAGGGGTTTTAGGAGGTGTGTGTCAGGAACCAGGAACAAAAACCAAATATATATTTTTTTATTGTAACACTCATTAAAACCAAATATATATTTTTTATTGTAATACCAACTGATGGGAGGGGGGAGTTATTCAACCACCCTACTTTCTGTCTCTGAATTTGTCTACTCTAGGTATATAAGTGAAATCATTGTATTTGTCTTTTTGTGACTGGCTTATTTTACTTAGCATATTTCCAAGATTTATCTACTTTATAGTATGTGTCTGAATTTCCTCCACTTTTAAGGCTGAATAAATATTCCAGTGTATGCAGATGGCATTTTCTTTATCCATCAAACGTGGTGTACAAATACCTAGAGATTTGTACAAGTACTTGGTCAAATCTCCACTTTTCAAGGTTTAATTGTAGGAGTCTTGTGTTCAGTTCCCTCTCTGATTTCAGAACTGGTTGAGGCATTTGACCTCAAGCTACCTCACCTTTCGTGGGTTTTCTTACTGTTCACTGCTCCTGTTTCTCCTCACTCTAGGTATTTGGGCTTTATATATTAATTTATGGTCTTGGAGATTCTCCTTGCCCAGCAATGTATAAGAGTTGTTGTAATTTATCCAGGATCTAGTGTTATTTGGATGAGTGCTCCTCAAAGTACTTATTCTATCCTACTGCCAGACATAATATCTATTAAATTTTCAAGTTTCAAATACATATGATACCATTTTCTTTTTTTCTTCCCCCCCACAAAAAAAAATTTAGGGAGCTTACTCATTTTTACCTTTCTTTGTAATGATAGATCTATATTGTGTCCATGAATGTGTTTTTGGTCTATTTAACTTCCAAGATATTTCTGTTGTTAAATAACATTGAGGAAGTGGATGATGGCTAACAGCCTGAATCTTAGCCTTGTTCCCTCTTAGCTGTTTTTCAAAGACAAATTATTAGTTAAAAACCTTTTCTATTAAATATACCAAATAATGATCCCTTAGTTGCTTAATACCTACCAGTTGTGAAATACTTTAATAATATATATCTGAATATAGGTATGAAAATGTCTTAGATTTTCCTTTGACCCTCTCTCGCCATAATTACTGAAGCAAAATTCAGTTATAAGCACTGTAACTGAGCAGAGTTTTACCAAGAAAGATATGCCAGTAAATCTCTAACCAGTTTAGTCTCTGTCATATAGTTCTTATATATTACTTTCCTTTTCACACTTAGATTCTTGCAATAACTGCCATAGGGCAGGAATGTCAGGGATGAAAGTTAACTTTATAAATGAACAAAGATATTAGGCTGATGTGAGCTCGCAGTTAACCAGGGTGTCTGAAAACAGTACTTTTCCATGTTAAACCACATCTGTATTAATTGCAAGTAATATCCTGAATTAAAACTTAAGAGCAGTATTAAAAAGCATGAACAGGGAGGGAAAATGTGAAAGATAGCTGGGAGTGAGGATTAAAGAAGCCAAGAAGAAAATAATGAAACTATAGATGAAAAGACATACTGTAGTAAAGTTATTGATTTGTAACAACACATTTTATAAATGTCTGAAGGGATAAGGGACATAGGTATAGTGTAAAGATAGGCTTATTGCTAAAAGCCTTTGTGATGTAAAATATATTCCAAAAGTTTCAGATTAGATTCTTTGACAAGAAGAAAAAATACTTAGAAGATAATATCTGTGTTTTTAAAATTATAACCTCCCACTTACCCCCACCCAAAACCGCTGTGCTTCTTTGAGTTATTTACATGTTATCACCAGTGGCATATTCTCCTTGGCTAATGCTGTGAATTTTCCTTCCTTCCTGATTATATTTCCTAGTGAGTTATTAATATTTTGAAGCAGTTTGGAGAGAAGAGAAATACTCCATATTTGAATTAGTTACAACATTTCTCATTTATTTTTTAGATTGTAGATTAGAATGACCCTTCAAATAACTATTTTGTTAATGCCTTGCACTCGGATATCTTTTTAGGATATTAAACTTATTTATTTCTAACCATTCATGTAACTGCTTTTATTGCAGTAAAGTGTGTTGAAATTTCCATGTAACTTTACTTCCTTGACAGTTCTGAAATAGCATAGAAAATATGATGTGTCTTCTCTGTTTAATTTTAAATTTTAATATGATTGCTAATTTTAGTATTATTAAATATCAATATTTTACAAAATTAGGTTAAAAAGAGTTGTTATGAAAAGTAAGAGAGTTAATCAAATAAGGCATATATATAATATGCCTGGATTGTTAGAAGTTTAATGAAATAAGGTTAATATTTGAAATGAATGATTATAGTCACATATAACTAAATTATTTTTATTGCATTATTAGAGAAGTACAATACATATGAATTTTTCTTGGTTTTTATTTCCTAGAAAATTTTAAGAACTTGCATTGACCAAGTGAAAAAGTATCCAGAATTCTATACTCTCCATGAAGTCACCAGTTTAATGGGATTCTTTCCATTCAGAATAGAGATGGGATTAAAATTAGAAAAAACTCTTCTTGCACTGGTAAAGTTTACCATATGAAAGTATATACTTATTTTTGTCTAGAACGTTATCTATTTCACAGAGACAATATTTACGTGTAAATTTTGAACAATAATGAGATAACTTTTAAAATATGCAATGCAAATGTGTCCCTCTTTATTTTATGGCTACCAATACTTGATTTTTTTTAAAAAATGTCACTACCAACTTTATTTCTTAATTTCCATCTTTCTTAATGTTTCTGAATACAAGCAAGAAACTCCCCCCTTTTTTAAGGGATTTTACTTGCAATTGTATTGGAAGGAAGTGTGCATAGAGAAGATATTTTAGAGATCCTACTATACACTGTGATGATTTGTACCACAAAAAAATGAAAAGTTAGAATTTAAAGTTGCAGTGAATATTCCACAGCACCCTGGTGTTGGACCCTTTTTAAATAATATGTATGTCAGCCATCAAGCAAAAAGATGAATATCTTAAGATGGCTCTAAATTTGACATTTGCATTTAGTAGTATGAAAAACTTTAAGTTAAAAAGTTTCATGTAACAAAAGGATACTTAGAGAAAAAATACATCAATATTTTAACAATAAAACATTTCTTTTTTCTTATGTAGGGAAGTGTAAAATATGTGAAAACAGTATTTCCCTCAATGCCTGCAAAGTTGCAACTCTCCAAAGATAGCATATCTACCATTGAGACACTGGAACAAACAACTGCAGCTATGCATTATGTAAGTAGGAAGGTGGTTTGGGATCTTCCTAAGTAATCTTCTGCACCTCATAAAATACACATAATATGATTGTTCTAAAGTCCCTTTCCTGAATTTCTCTCTTTTGTTTATTAAAGAAATTTCCAATAAGTATAATCAAGTAACAAGTTATATGTTGTTTTTCAGGATATTAGTAAAGATCCAAATGCAGAGAAGCTTGTTTCCAGATATCACCCTCAAATAATTCTAACTAGTCAATCATTATTTGCCTTATTAAATAATCATGGACCAGACTACAAGGAACAGTGGGAAATTCCAGTGTGTATTAAAGTAATACCTGTTGCAGGTTTGTGATTTGCCATGTCAGTTAATGCTTTTAACAGAGGAGTTGAAATGGTTCTATTTGAGCTATCTAAACATAGGCGGTCATTTATCAAATACAGAAATCTGAGTTTTGATTTATAGAGGATGTAAGTTTGACATTTACATTCAGTATAACTTTTAAATATGTAATGCTACTGTGGAATTGACACTTATAAGTAAATGAGCTATTAGATCTGTAGAACGTATATTCATGTTTGGGGCAGTGAGAGGTAGAGAAATAATTATGATTTAGGGTGGCCAAAAATACATGAAATGGTGAGGTTCTGTCTTTCAATGAAATTAAAGGAATGCAATACTTTATTAGACAACCTCACATGGGTGAGTTTCCAGGACTTATTTACTTGTCCATTATTGGAATTCAGAATTAAAATAGGTCTATTCTTAGCATAAGATAGTCTCACTGTTGACAGTAAAATTAATATTTGCATGTAAATTTCTCTGTACAAAAGGTTACTCCCCTTATATTTTGGTTCATACGTAATAATATTTTCATGTCTTCTGGAATTATTATATGTAACAACATTAGTATATGAAGAACTATGTCTAATGAAGCACAACTACAAATTAGAGTAAAATGTTACATATTCTCTGTGGTAAAAATTTCATCACTTTTCGAAAGTGTAACCCTATAAGAACTGAGTAACAATGACAGTAAAAGTATAACAATAAAAAGTAGAAAATCTTTTTTTAAAATATTAGAAAGAGAATTTTTTTTTTTTTTTTTTTTGGCCAGATTTTCTTGCCCTTTAGATCTCTAAGGGACTTGAAACACTTTCCAATTCAAGGGTGGCAAATGTACTGGACTTGTGCTACTACTTTTCTATCCTATGTCTTTGTTTAGTGATCCTTTTGTCATATACCGTTTTTTTTTGTTTTTTGGCTTTGTTTTGTTTTTTTGTATAACTGCTAGAAACTAATCACCCCCTTCTGTTTCTGTTTTAAGGTTCAAAACCAGTTAAAGTAATTTATGTTAATTCACCACTTCCACAAAAGAAAATGACAATGAGAGAGAGAAATCAAATCTTCCATGAAGTTCCTTTAAAATTCATGATGTCCAAAAATACAGCTGTTCCAGTCTCTGCAGTGTTTATGGACAAACCAGAAGATTATATATCTGAAATGGATGTATGTAATGCTTTTCTTTTTTTCTTAAGGGAATGTATTTGTTTATTCTCTTGAAGCCTAAAGTTTTATTGCAAGTCTCTAAATTTAGTAGTTAAAAATCTAGACTTTAGATTGAAACTTAAAATTGAACTCCAGGTCAAGCTAGACTTTAGGCAACTAATTAAACTTCCTTCAGCTTGAGTTTTTTCTCTTTTTGTAAAAGAAAGGTGATAATACCTACTTCACAAGTTTGATGTAAGCATTAAGTTTGATATTATATGTAAAGTGCTGAGCATAGTCATTGGTATGTATGTACTAAAAACTCAGTCATTGATGGTGGTAATTGTGGTGGTGGTTTTATTTAATTGGTCTCATTCACATTTAAGAATCTGTAAGTATGAAAAGGAACAGATGGGTTTAATTGGTACAAAATATATTTGGCCAGATTGTTAATCTTTTTCAGTGGACTTAGCTTTGTGACCTTAAGCAAGCCACATAATCTCTCTGTGTCTGGTTTGCTCATCTGTAAAATGAGTATCACGATATTACCTCATAGGATTCTTTGGAATTAAATGAGTTAATACATGTAGAGTATTTAGAATAATGCTTAGCATTATTATTTTGTGTATTTAGAAATATTTTTCCATGTTTATAAAAGTAAGACATTCTCTTTATACAAAACTTTCTCATTTATTCCACAAATATTTATTGAACAGATACTATTCTATGCACTGAGGATGCAGTACTGAATAAAAATAGTCTCTTTTCTCTTGGAGCTTAGATTAGTGGCAGAGGGCACCGATAGTTAACAAAACAATAGCAAAAAAAGCAGGTAGTAATAAATGCTATGCAGAAAAATAGAGTAGGTTAAGGGGAAAGAGATGGGAATTAGACTTAGTTTCATGGTCAAGAGGATTTTCTAAAGACAGGAAATACAAGCAGAGACTTGAATAAAGTGAGAGAGCAAACAAAGTTAATAAAATAGAAAAAACATTTTTCTTATTAATGCCTAAGAGCTCATATTATTTTAAGGATATTGGCCTTTTGTCTTTTATATGTTTATGTTTTTCTCTGCCATTTGCCTTTTAATATTTTTATAGTTTATAGATTGTAGAGCACTTTCAACTTTTTCTTTTTTTACATTTTTAAATCTACCTAAAACTTGTATTAATGTGAGGCGAATGTCAGAAAGTAACAAGTGTTACGAAGAAACATGAAGTAGTTAAAAGGGATGAAAATTGACAGAGTAACTCCTTTTATTAATGGCAGATCAGGTTATTTGGACCTTTCTCATTACTGATAACAAATAAAAAGCTGGACAAAATATTAAAAGTTCTTTCTTAAAATCATCAAAGAGCTAACAAGACAGGATTTACAGGGTTGAGATACCTGAGAAAACCAGAATCCAGGGAGGTTAGTCTGTCTCTTCGGATTATTTTTGACCCGGTTGGTATCTGCCAGTTCTGAAGAGGCAAAACAAAATGAGCTGTGCTTTTGGCAACATCACAGGCCTAGGGGGACAAAAGTCATAGTTCAGTTTTCCATGAAAGGCTTAGACCATGCAGGGGTCCAAGAGTAAAGGTGAACTAGAAATAAATCAGTTTTCTCAGTGATGGTAGCCTGAGTTTTCAGACCTTGAACTTGTATTCAGATGCTTTTGGATTACTAGTGTCTCTAGACACCTAGCAAAAGCAAATGAAAATAATTCTTAAAGGAACATAATGTCATTTTGAGCCTCAAATTGTTTCTACAAATAACCTTTTAAAATATAGCATCCAGAAAACATTTCAATGTAACTAGACACAGGAAGAGACCATCAGAAACAGTGACCAAAGAAATACTCACATAAATAGATCTTAGAATTATTAATCACAAACTCTTAGTCAACTCTATTTAATTATACAACAGTCAAGGAAATTATTGCTTGAAAACTTCAGTGAGGACCTGGAAACTTTTAAAAGAGAACAGATTTGAAAAATAACTAAATAAAATTTTTAAAACTAAAAAATATAGTAAACACAGTTTAAAATTCTGTAAATGGAGTTATTAGGACATTAAATAAAGCTGAAAAGAAAGAAACTGAAAGATCAGTCTGAAAAGACTATCCATAATGAACAGACAAGAAGAAGAAAATATGGAGAGTAGGGCAAGAGATACAGAGGATATAATGAGAATGTCTTAACATGTGTATATTTGCACCCAGAAGGATGGTGTAAAACAGACAGTGGGACTAAGTCAATACTTGAAGACAAAGAATAAACTTAAAAGCTATCAGAGAAACAAAAGGCACATTACCTATGCAGGACTGAGAGTTAGATTAACAAATAACTTCTCAACAACAATGGAAGCCAGAAGACATTTGAACAATATACTGTGCTAAGAGAAAATAACCCACTTACTAAAATTCTCTAATCAGTGAAAATATCCTTAAATAATTTTTTTTTAAAAGGTAGTTTCCATTAAAAACTTAGTTTGCTACCAGCAGACCCCCTATAATGGATGTTCTTCAAGCACAATGAAAATAATTTCAGATGGAAGGAGGATGGTGAAAGATGAAAAAAGGAATGAAGAATAACAGAAGTGAAAATGCGAATAGGCTCTAATTTGTAGGTGATTGCAGGGGCACTCAGGGAGATGATATTTCTGAGATGACCTGGGCCCTAAGAACTCTGGAAACTAACCAGCCGAAGTCCCTTCCAAGACAAAAGCCTTCACTCAAGAAAAATCACTGATAGAGTCCATATTGAGCAGAACAGGGACATTAAAGAAAAAGAAGTTTTCAGAAAACTGTAGGAGAGGGGAGTAGAGGAAGCAGATCTCAGAATGTACTGAAGATTCACACACACAAACTAACATGTATACATAGTTCGTGGTAACAAGCATGAGTTTAGAGCCATGAAGCTGAGAAAGCTACCTTGGCACACCCCTACACAGGATTGTTCTCCCGTACGAGCAAGGAAACTCATCTCATTTAAACATGAGCAGAAGATTGTTGATGGAAGCTCTTACAAAGATAGTAAAGGGGGAATAAATTGCCATAACATTTACACAGTCAAGATATACCCACAAACATGAAAACTAATGTGCCCTAGAATTCTTGTTTCTAGAAGCGTACTCAGAAGAAAACCAGGAAAAGATCAAAATGTATGCGCAAGGTATTCATTGCAGCACTATTTGTTGTAGCAAAAGGTTGGAAACAATCCACATGTTTCTCAATAGGATATTGATTGAATAAACTGTACATTCTCAGTGGTATACTATGCAGCTTTTAAAAGGGATGTGGAAACTCTAGATATGCAGCTGTAGAATGATATCCAAAATATATCGTTAAGTAAAAAAGGCAAGGAAGAGAACATTTTGTGTAATACACTATTTATGGAAAGGAGGAAACACAAACACACACACATTTGCTTATATTAAAAAAAAAACACACACAATGAAGAATAAACCTAAAATTAATGAAAATGGTTAACTGCTGGGAAGTGATGGAACAAAGTAGAGGAGGCAGGAATATCAACTAAATTTCTCTGAATGTACTCTGTTTTATAGTTTTGACTTTTGAGCCATATAAATGTTTCAGATGTCTAAAACAAAACTTTTAAATGTTAGAAAAGCCAGTCAAAGCTGAAATGAAACAAATGAATCCACTACATAACAAAAGTTAGTGGTTTAACCACTCAGAAGAATTCTTTTAAATGATTAGAAACTTCGTAATTTGACTGTATATCCCTAAAGATATATATCCTAAGTTCAAAAAGAACTGCCAAAAAATCTTAAACTGTACTTAGTAACCATACTGTTAATGATATTGATATTTTTATTTTAAACACATTAGATAGTATAATAAACCAAACAAGTAATTATGTTAGGAACCCAGAATTTCAGCATAAGAGTTACAAATGCTAATCAAAGAAGTTAAGTAAAAGTTATTAAGTATAATAACATGGTAATTGTATCAAAAAGATGCCAGAGCCAACCTGAAGGGTTTCCTATTGGCCAGAGATGTGTCAGTTTGACCATGACAAAAGATGACTAGAGTGGATTGAAACACATGAAATACGTTAAAATCCATGAATTCATAGTGATACTTAAAAAAATACTAGTCATCTTTGGAGCATACTAGTGTGTAAAGTCCTTCTGAAAACTGATGAAGAGAAAAATATCAAGTATTTGTCTTGCCTTTCCGTACAAATTATATTTTGGGGTAATGACAGAATATGACTCATCATTTTGTAGCTGTTAATGAAATAGTGAATCCAGTCAATGATCAATCATCGACTGCTAAAATCATTAGAATATCAATGAGTAATTTTATAGTGGGTAGATTATATTGATGACACTTGACGAACCAACAGATCAATCGTCATATCGCAAGGAGAAAGATAACCAGACATCATTAGCCTCCTGATTGAAGAGGAAATTCACAGTCTCACATATAACATTCAGGGAAAAAAAAATTTTACCTGAATCTGATCAAGCTCCAAGATCATTTTAATAGGATATTCCAAAGAAAGAAGAATATGTTAAATGACATCACAATGATGCAGAAGTTAAAATTCAGAATATGAAAATTTTTACAGTATAATTAATATGATTTCTCCTACAAATATCTGGTGGACGTGGGAGTTGTCAATTTTCCTTTTATTTTTCAGTTTTGACAAACGTAAAAAAATTGAGAGACCTGTCAAATGCAATGAAGGAATCTTGGTAGGATACTGATTCCAATAAACAATTGTAAAAAAAAAAAACATGTCACACTGGGAAATTTTAACACTTGATTAGATATTTTATGACATTGAAGAATCATTTTTATTGATGTAATTAATGGTATGTTTTATAGAAGAATCCTTTTGCAACTACATAAGTATTTATAGATAAAGGATATTTTTAATTTTATCTAAACTTATTCTGTTGAGAGTGAGAGCACTATCTTTCATTAGTTTTTAGTTTTATATTTATTAATATGACATTTTCTTCTTAAAAAGGCTGTGAAGTAATACATCTGATTTTTTGTGTTTACTGTTCTAGTTTTTGTTGCTTTTTAAATATTCTGTAATTATTTTAATCTCTTAATGATTTGGAATGTTTTTTCATTTCCAAGTGCTTAGGTTTATTGCTTGTTTATATTTTTCTTAATGATTTCTAATTTTATTTCCTTCTAAACAGCAAGTAAGACCTTAGCAGATTCTGCTTTGTGCTATATTGATGTTTTCTTTGTATATTAATTTATAGTCCATCTGTGGAAATGCTCCTTGGATTCTTGGGAGGGAAAAGGTATATCTTTCTAGTCTATATATATGTTTTCAGTCATTCATATATATTTGTTTCAATCATTTACTATTATACTTTCCATTTCTATTCCTTTTTACTTAAAGACAGTGTATTGACCAAGTACAATTGCATTTCTGTCAAATTTTCCTTTTATTTTTCAGTTTTGAGTACATATTTGGATGTTATTTGGCATATCACAATTCATGACCAGACCATTATCTTTTCATCATGGATTTTATCTTTTTTCAACATAGTATTCCTTTTTTGGTTAATGCTTTTTGCATTGAATTCTGCTTTGTCTAACACTATTGCTGTTCCTTACCTCTTTATTTCTTGATGTTATACCCTGTGATTTTGTTTTTAACCTTTTTGTGTAAGAGCGCCTCATGTAAACAGTATATTTATTTTTTCACTAAATTTGGTAGTCTTTTCATTTTAGTAAAAGATACCATTTAGAAGCTTACTATGTGCCAGGGACTATGTCAAGTAACTTAGAGCAAATCCAAGATGACCCTATTATCACTATTTTAGAAATGAGGAAATTAAGCTTCATAGAGGTTTAAAAAACTTACACAGCTTGATCTTACTACTTGATTTCGGAAAGAATTTTTCCGTCAGATCCTAAACTGTAAGACTAGTGCGTGTACATAGCCTGTAATGAAATTTTCATGGTATTTATCTGAAGTGCGCTACCAGGTTGAGGAAAGATCTGCTGTTGCTTGGTGAGAGGACAATTTATTCCTGAACAAATTAAAGCTGTAGTTCTCCATTATCACAGTACATGAAAACCTATAGCCTCAATGGCTTTATATCTCAGAATACAATAAAACTGCTTCTTGTCCATTTCTCCTCATATTACTGAGATTTGTTTTCCCTGAATACTTGTAGAAAGAAAGTCACTGATTGATGTTAGGGATGCACCAGAAGCTGGTGACACTTCCCCAGCTGCATTAGAAAGCAGGTTCCACAGTGGTAAAGAGGTTTTTCTCCTGGTCAGCTATGGTGTCTCTGCAAGAATGTGTGGAGTGGGTGTGAATGAAAATCCACCTTCCTGTTTGGCCCTACATTTCTTTTGTCTATTTTTTTTTTTATTAGTGGAAATTCCTCTTGGGATGTGGTAGTTCACAATATTCCCCATTTCCTATGCTGTTACAGCTTGGCAGATTTGTGTTTCATGAACATTTCATTGGGAATGTAAGGTTAAATAGTTGATAGTGGTTTATTGTCATCTAAAGCAAGAACCTTTCAAAGCTATTAGACTTTCTGTTTTAAAGTACGTGAACTGTGTATATGAGAGGTAGGAACACTAAGATAAGGTGTATCCTGGAATTTTCACTAATAGTTTACCAATATATTTTCTTAAGATGTCTTATGAAGTTAACGAGTGCCGAAAAATTGAGACCCTTGAAAATTTGGATCTGGATTTTGATGATGACGTCACAGAACTTGAAACTTTTGGAGTAACTACCACCAACCCATCAAAGTCACCAAGTCCAGAAAGCATTTCCACAGTACACAACATGACAGACACTCCTACAGCCCCCAGTGTAGCAACTACACCTGTGGTACCAATTGCACCAGATATTTCTGCTCATTCTAGGAGTTTATCTCAGATTCTGATGGAACAATTGCAGAAGGAGAAACAGCTGGTGACTGGTATAGACGATGACCCTGAAGAGTATCAAAATAAAGATGATCAGGGATTTGTACCATGTGGTGAAAAGGAATCAGATAATTCTGGCAAGTCTATGATGCAAGATAGTGACTTGAAAACACCAGATGCCTTACAGTTAGAAAGTTCTACAGAAAATGAAACCTCTAATGAAAATGATATGGCTACTGATATGGTATATGCTGATGAAAGACCAGATGTTCTAGAGAACCCAGACAATTCAAAGGAAAAGACTGCTACATCAGAAGCAGCGAAAACTGAAGATATAGTTCTTTGCAATAGTGATACAGATGAAGACTGTTTAATCATTGATACGGAATGTCAAAAGAATAGTAATGAAATAACAGCCAATGTGAGTTCTAATTTAAGTTCTAAACCAGCTAGCCCAAATTCTTCCTTGGGACAGGCTTCTGTAGAAAACCAGACTAATACTAATACTACTTGTAGTCCTGAAGAGTCATGTGTTTTAAAAAAACCTATCAAACGAGTATATAAAAAATTTGATCCAGTTGGGGAAATTTTAAAAATGCAGGATGAACTCTTGAAGCCAGTTTCCAGAAAAATACCTGAATTGCCCTTAATGAATACAGAAAATTCGAAACAACCTCCTGTTTCCGAGCAACCCTCTGTTCCTTCAGATGCCTCCAATTGGCCCAAAACTGTATGGCCTTCTGCATTTCAGAAACCAAAAGGACGTAAGTAATTATTTACAAAGCACTTTTGTCTGTTCCTGTCCTTCAGGTTTCCCCCGCATTCCCTCACATTCTCTTTGTTATAATCTACTTTATAATCTTTACATAGTCATTGACATTTCATTTTTTAATCTGTTCAGTATTTTAACTTCCAAATGTTCTCTCTGAATATGTACCCAAAGTTGTATGGATTTTGTAACTTATGTTTATCCAATATGTACAGTGACTACCAGAATATAATGTAGTTTGCCATACTGATCCAAGTGCATTACAGAATAACCATGAAAATAATCATAAACCTTTATTTGTCCAAAATTTATTCTTGGTGTTAGACTGCAATTTTGTACTTTTTAATTTTGTGAAATAGATAAAAAGCTGTACCTCAGCTCTGCCGAGATTAGGAATAACATTATTTTTTAAAACTCTTCTTTTTTACTTAATATATTGTCTCACTATACTTTGCCTAAGGTTAGTTAAAAGAAAGAGACCCTGAAAGCTTTTATTGCAGCTCTTACAGTAGTTTCACTAAAAGTAAACAGAAATGGTAATAGTGTGATGATCAGCTTAGAGGAAACAAAGTTAAATTGATAAAAGTTTAAAAATAGATAATTGAATTGTTTTACTTTGAATTATGATGAATAAAGAGTTAATGTATTTTAAAATAAAAATGAGAAATATAATTATTTTTAAAGGATTGCCATATGAACTTCAGGACTATGTCGAAGATACATCAGAATATGTAGCTCCTCAGGAAGGAAATTTTGTTTACAAGTTGTTTAGCCTGCAAGACCTGTTGTTACTTGTGCGATGCAGTGTCCAGAGGATAGAGACCAGACCACGTTCTAAAAAACGGAAGAAAATCAGAAGAGTAAGTTGTTACTTGGGGAGTTAGGATGTTGCAGTAGCATAAGTAGATAATCAGCAAATATTAAGCATGCCATTGTTCCGAAGTTTAATTTTAAATTGTTGATGACTCTTGTGGTAGTTTTTCCAGGTTGATTTTTTTTTTTTAGTAGTCAAATACTGAAAATACTTTTAATATGACAAAGTGTTTAGTTAAATGTAATAGTCATGAATGCTGATAGGGTTCTTGCATAGAATACATAAACTTCATGAAAAATGGTACCATCATGGATTTGACCTAGACTGGCACACGTTCCTGCTTTCTCTGTGAATTTGGATTTTCATTATGATGTATTAACCCCTTTCTCTCTTAATTTGGGGATCTTCTTGACTCATTTTAGAAGTCCATATTGTGAAAGAAAGACTTTCACACGCACATTTGATAAGTCTTCCAGGATTGTTGGAAGTCCAGATGTCTTTTTTCCCCCCATTGTTTCTTTTGTGGTTTGATATAAACATTTTCCTCATTTAAGAAAGTTTTTGCTACAGTTTGAGTATTTGGCTTTTCAACAGTTTTTCATATTTGATATTTGAAATTATCTTTTAGATTCATTTGATATTTTGTATGTGTGACCACTAAATTCTGGAAAATAAAGAGGAACTTCTGTATTATAATCGATAATGTAAGAAATAGTGAAGTCTCTAATTTCTTAAGAGAATTTATATAGATTTGTCGTAGTACACTTAAAAAAAAAAAGTTTCAATGTTCTCGTCTCTTGTTGTTCTACCACCCAGTAACAATCTTCAGTGACCACTTTATAATGTCAGTGTTTTGGGCTAGGAGTCAGATGAATCAAGAATTATGATGTCCACTCCCACTGCCCCCCAAACCCGCAAGTTGTGAGATTCCAGCACTAGTTATTGTGGATCAAGTCCCTGACTACTACTTTATCATATTAAGGAATAACAGAAAAAAGAAAAAGAAGTGCCAGCCTTTTAAAGCTGCTAATAGCAACAGTGTTAGGATCTATCATGAAAAATTCTAAGGCTAAGTCTTCAAGATCTAGTATGTATACTTTGTCCACCAAAATCCAGTGAACTTGGAGGATCTTTTGCTTGATGACTCTTTTATCCTTTGTTAAATTTAAGGAAGAATGTGAATAAATCATTAAATTCCTAATTCTTATAATTTGGTTTTCATCACTGGTTCAGACTTGGAATTTTTGAAACCAAATAGTTTTGAATTAAATGTGTGGAAGTTTTTTTAATAAGAGAAAATCAAGGAATGACAAAAATACTATACGTTGGTATCAGTCTCCTCCTAGATAAATCCTAATCTCTGTATTAAAAGATTTTACTTTGCTGATTTTTTCCTGTCTCATCTATATTTAACTGTGATCAATTTAATGGCCATAGCATGAACATCTTGAATACATGTAGCGTCAGTGCTATAGATATTTTCAAGTTTTATTTCTTTAATTCTTACTTGCTGTATCTGACTTACTTGGGAGCTTAACCTCATTTTTTTTCACTTTTTACCCTGTAAACCCATACCACTTTGTATTGATCTGCCAGTTTACAGCACTTAGAAAGTATTGGTGGGCAGTGTCTCTTAAGTGAAAATAGCCTAGGTATATTTTGGATACTGATTTAATTTCTGAATTGATATTAAGAACATTGTCATCCACTTGAGTAAAGTGAAATTTGTAAATGTCAAGACAAAAACCTTGTAGTATAGAATCACTCTTCATCAAAATGTATCAAGACAATTGAGTCCTAAAGAACATCTAAATAGCCTTATATTTCTGATCGTGTCAAACCCAGAGTAAAATTTAAAGTTTTTCAGTGAATGCTTATCATATTGCACCTATAATAATATGTAATAGTTTAGTATACATGGTTTAAGTCCCTTAGAATATATTCCCCTTGGAATCATGTTATATTTATCTCTGTTTCTCCCAAAAGTTGTATGCCTTAGAAACTCAGTAAATAGGTATTGAATCAGTGAGAAAAATTGAGGGATGAGTGAGGAGAGAGGAGACTTTTGTTAAGGAAAGGAACTTAAGGGAAGTTGAGGCACTCGTTTGAGAAATTTTTAAGTGGTACTATTTAAACTCTAATTAGGGTAGAATGCATCCTCATTAACATTTCCTACTTAAAAATCAACTTGTTCAGATAAAGCTTTAAAGTACATAGAAGTCTCATCAACCTCTGATGTCCAGGAACTTCAGCTCTCTTTTATTTTTCTTTGGTTCTTCAATTCTCTGTTATCATAGTTGAGATTTTAGTTTCCAATATCATTTATCCTCTGTCATTAAAACTCTGCTTAATAAGAGCTGCACATCAGAGGAGAACTTAATACAGCAGCCAGTCTCAAATGATGTAGAGGGCTAATTTAGACCACAAAATGAAGTTGGAACTTACTAAATTCTACACAGTTAGAAAATCCACACCAAGTAACTTTGAATGATTTGATAGTATCTGTTACTGTCTGTCAGTTAACCATATTTCTTAAGTGATATATTCTAAAATGATTTAAAAATTTAGACCTGGTGATTTTAAAATTTATATTGTCATTCTAGGGCCAGAAAATAGGATCCTGAAGGTGCTTGAATGTTAGGAATGAATAGAATGTACCCATTGGGATCAATGACAGAACACTAACTATGAAATACCTATTTAGGAATGTATGTAAAAGTTTAAAAGATTTATGTGAAAATTGAAAGAGAACCAAGAAAAATTTTTCACTTGAGATTAGGAGCTACTTATCAGGGAAAAAAAGTAAATAGAATTAATTTTTATAGTTTGAAAACTTCGTACTTCAAATTTCACTTTAATTTTGGAATACTTAAAATAATCAGACTTTTCTTCCCTTGGCTTCCTGGAGATGGCAGTAGAAATACATATAGAAATTAAAACCAGATTCAGGACTTAGTTTTATAGATATGGCAGTATTATCAAAGAAAATCCCCCAAATATTTTCTTTTCAGAAATAGAAATATTTTTTTAATTTAAAAAAATCTCTAACTCTGTTATCAACTCATGATTCAAAAAAGGAATCTTCTTCATCCAGTATTCTTTTCCCAACTCTACTTTAAACTGCCTATATCTCCTTGAGCAAATTTCTTAACCCTCTGGGCCTTCATTTCTTTATATCTAGATTCTCTTTGCAACTATAAGCAACTGTAAATGCAGATTACCATTTACTGAGGAACTATTATACAATAAAATGCTTTTAGCAATAAAATTATTCTAATCATAATACATCTTTTTTTTTTTTTAATAGAAAAGACATTGTAGGGGCCTTACTACTCCAGGTTTGGCCCCTATAACAACAACCTGTTAAAAATGCAAAACCTTTGTCTTCACCTCAGATTCTACATTTTAACAAGAGCACCAGGTTATTCCTATGCACACTGAAATTTAGAAACACTGCCTTATAGATTTTTATCACATTTAAAGGTAATATATGAATCGAACTTCTTGTTAACAGAAATTTTTTATTTTAAATTTTTCTTACCACCATTATTGTGCCAAGCCCATTAAATTTGCCACTTTGTGAAAATCAGGAGTTCTGAAACATTTATGCAGTATTTTCAAGTATATAAATAGTGACAGCTTAGTATAATTTCAAAAGTACTAACTAGCCATATCACTCTAAGTTCCATAAATCATGTGTTTCTCCTTCTGCAGCTGGAGATGAAGACACTGCTGTTAAGAGTAAAATTTTCTTTGACAGAAATGAGATAACATGAGTATAATGAACACGACTAACATATTATTTCACAAGCATGTATTTCCTTACATATTCTCCTTTAAACCAGTAATGGGTACAATCATTTTACTTATTCTATTTAGTGTCCTGAGCAATAACTCTAAATGGATAATTTGTCAGGTACTTAGTATCTGGAATAAAGCCTTTGTATTAATGAAGATAATGACATTCACAGGTGTTAATGTAGATATTAATGCTCATACATTCATCGAATGAAAAGCTGCTCAGAGGGTTTGAGCCTTAGATAATGTGACTAATGCTAAAGGGGCAAAAATTCATCCTTTTTTTATCCTTTTGAGAATTATTAGTATATAGTACAGTCAGTGTTTCCTAGAATCTGTCTTTGAACCTTTGGGCAATTGTGTATATCATAGTCTCAGTTCCAAAGACTCTGCTGTCAAACATATTCCCTGCAGAAATAAAATGTGCATATATATGAGGAGGTATGTATTTTGGGAGAGGGTTTGGGATCTCTTATTCTTCTACCTCTTGTGCCTCACCCCACCCCCCACCCCCCACCGCCCAATGTCTACCAAGGGTTCTTTCTGCCTGAATCCTACTGTATTTGAAAGAATGAAATAAGATTACCCAAAAGCATTTTAAAAGTGACAGAACTGTATAGGCAAGTGCGTTTGCTATTAATAGTAAATTAATGGAACTTTGAAGAATTACAACTTTGCATTGCAGCAATTTCCAGTTTACGTTCTACCGAAAGTGGAGTATCAAGCTTGTTATGGAGCTGAAGCTCTGACCGAAAGTGAGCTTTGTCGCCTGTGGACTGAAAGTTTATTGCATTCCAACTGCTCATTTTATGTTGGTAAGTTATATAAGAGGCTTTATTCTTTTTTAATGCCTTTGTAAATACATATAATAATTTTAAATATGTCCATTCAGTACTTTTTATTTTCAGTTTTCTGATTGTGTTAACATTCTATTAAAACACCATTCCTACTGCAGTTAAATGGCGAGATGGGACTGACTAGTAATACCAAATTTCCCTCTTATTCTCTATTTAGTTGTACATGAATGTCAACATAATTATTTTTAAAATATCTTAACCATGTAATTAACTAAAAATGTAGATGTGTTTTCTAATGAGCTTCTTTTAAAAATATTATCTGTTGTCATAAATAGCAGAATTCCCTTCTTTCTCATCGCTGAGTAATATTACATTATATGTATAAATTATGTCCTGTCTTCTTTATTCAGCTGTTGATGGATGCTTAGGTTATTTCCATATCTTGGCTATTGTCAATAATTAAGCCAGATTTTTATAATTTTTATCTTAAGAGCACGTTTGTCTTAGAGATGTGTAGCGCATACCCAAACTCTAAATTTGATTTTATCTATTTGCTTTGATAATAGGTACATATTTCTCTAAAAATTTAATCTCCATAAAATTCAACTTTAACCAGAATTTAAAGCACCAATATTTTAAGTTATTATTCTTAAGTTGTGGGCTTAGAGATGAATTTTTTTTCGGGGGTGAGGGGAGGGGTGGACATGTGTAACCTTTTCTACATTCACTCTTTTTTAGAATTAATATACATTTCTTTTATAATCTGACTTTTTATGTCATTTTAAAATACAACTTTACTTAATAGACTTAAAACTCCTCTTTTGGAATGTCAAGTTCTTTTACAGTTATTACAATTTTATAAAAACATCTTTAAAGAAACTGGATAACATTTTGTTTTTTAAACACTACAATTTTTTTTTTAAGTTTGATATTTTATTTTAGGTCATATTGATGCATTTACTTCAAAACTTTTCCTGCTAGAAGAAATCACCTCGGAAGAATTAAAAGAAAAACTTTCAGCACTCAAGTAAGAAAGTTGTTTACTTTGTGGTAGGAATTTAAAAATTTGTTAATATGATCACTAATTTTCCCTTATCTCTAAATATTGTTTAGCTTTAAAATCATTTATTTTCAAGACTTTCAGTCTTTTTACACATTGAGGCTTCTTACGACCCAGTTTATGACCCATCCGTATTAATCATCTCCATCTCCAGATTAAATATGCCAGTCGCATCAGTCTTTCTGCTTAAGACAAAAGAGGCTAGACCAAGAGAGTAGCCCATCATCTAGGAGGTGTATATGAGCATACATTTCACCCCTTTTCAGGGTTAAGAGAGACTAGGACAGTTACAGACTCTTAGCTGTCAGGATTGTATACACACATTTAGACATCCTAACTTCCAAAAGTTTGCCATTGTACCAAGCATTACTGTACATCAGATTGAAATGAATTTATTGTACTCAGAATTCCAAGTACCTAAATACAAAAGAAAATAACTATAAACATTATGTAATTTGCATCTCCTAACTTTCTAGGAAGGACTGGAGGTAGTATTATCTCCATATCGTTTATGAGGAAACTTAGACTCTGAGTGACTTGCCTCAGAGCACACAGATAAACCAGAGTGACAGTGTTGGTAGTTAATGTATTTGATTCACCACTTAGAATGAGAAATTGTTCTGATTTACACCAGTTGCATAGTTCCAGCTTTGAGACTTGACAGTTTTTGAAGGGTCCCAGAATGAAACTTGATTTCTCTGCTTGTACTTAAAAAACACGTCCACTTCTATTATGAGGATTCCTTCTTTTGAGTGGCAATTTTTCCTTTACATATGTAAAGCTTTTATGCATATATTTACATACATTTACATATGCAAAGTTTTCTATGCCGTTATTCATTGTCTGCCCCACCACTCCCAGCGAAAACTATTTTTAAATGAATAGTAAAGGAAATGAGTTCAGGTTTAGAAGAAATACTAAAGAAATACCGTGTATTTTATTTCTCTTTAACTATCCTGCCCCCAATCAGTGGCTTCTCTGGTATCACACATTTAATGTACCTCTCAATTTTCTTTGGAAGCTTATTATGCTCTAAAAGGCAATCTCTTCTGCAGATTAGTTCTGCTAAAGACTTCCGAATATAGTGATCTCTTTACAACTGCTCTGATATACACACACAAAATACTTATGATTTTGAAGAAAAATCAGGAAATGGCAAAAATTAAGTAAATATTATAATTTAATCCAATTAGAAATAACATTTGCTATTCTGTGTTTCACATTATCTGTTTTCTTTGTTATTGAAAGCATTTCTCTATTTGAGGAGCTATCATTGTTAAGAGTAAGGTTTTTTGTTGTTGTTTAATTTTACATGAATTTCTTCTATTTAATAGAATTTCAAGTTTATTTAATATCCTCCAACACATTCTGAAGAAATTAAGTAGGTAAGTAATTTTTTGGACAGTTTGCATTGATATGTCTGATTTTCTTGAATGAAAATTCACAGAAACTTTGAATATATGCTGTTAGGAATAGATACAATATAACCTAGAAATGCAAGATTTATTGTACTTTGTCAAAGTTGAAGCTGAAAATATAACTAAAGAATATCATTTACATCTTTCTATAAGGCATATTATATTGGTTTCCTATTGCCACTGTAACAAATTATCACAGATTTGGTGGCTTAAAACAACACAAATTTATTCTCTTATAGTTCTGGAAGTCAGAAATCCGAAATCATTTTCACTGGACTGAACTCATGTCAGCAGGGTTGATTCCTTCTTAAGGCTCTGAGGGAACAATCATTTCCTTGCCTTGATTTAGATCCATGCCAAATCTTAGAATATGGATTCTCCACCTGATTATTTATTAAACTTTTTGTTATGTGAACTTTTGTTTTTCTTCTGTTATGCCCTTAACAATTTTTAGTGAAATTGTTAAGATATGTGATTTTCACTGATGAAGCTTGATCTTTAAAATGTTGTTTATTCCTACCTACCAAATCAACTATTATTCGTTTACTTATATGGAAATCTGAAAGGTATTGTTTGGGAAAGAAGTTTTCTAGAGGATAAGAATAATTTTTTGTACCTCCTTTGTCAACACCTATTAGTTTTCTGTTCAAAACTAAAAAAAAAACAAGAATCTGTACTAAGTCACAAATCTCAAAGTTCTTTCTTTTATTATGCAATATAAGCAAGTTTCCTTGTTTATAAAATGATAGCGTTGAGTTCAATAATTTCATAGGTACTTTTCTGTGGTTTTGTGGCAGGATTTTTTATCTTATGTATTCTGTTCTTCATGTGAAGCACAATACTTATATAATGAAATTTGCCAAATGCTTTTTGACATTTTCTTATTATCTTGGTTTCTGTATTAGTTTTCTACTGCAGCTGTAACAAATTACAACAAAACTAACGTTGTAGAGCAACACAAATTTATTATCTTGCAGTTCTATAAGTCTGAAATTTAACAGGTCTCCCTGGGATAAAACCAGTGTGTCAACAGGGCAGCATTCTTTTCTGTAAGGCTCTGGGTATGGTCTGTGTCATTGACTTTTGTATATTCTAGGGGCCACTTGTATGCTTTGGCTCGTGGCCCTCTTCCTCCATCTTTAAAGTTTCAAAGGCAAGTTGAGTCCTTCTCACATCACATCGCTCTGACCTCTTCCACAGTTACATTCCGAGTCTCTTCTTCATCTCTCTTCTACATTTAAGGACTCTTCTTACAGTGAGCTCACTAAGATAATCCAGAAAAATCCTACCATTTTAAAATTAGCTGATTAAGAACCTTAATTCCATTTTAGTTTCCCTTTACCATGTAATGTAACATATTCACAGGTTCTAGAGTTTAGGACATAAACATTTTGGGGAGGCCATTTATTCATCCTATCATAGTTCCTATTAATCTGTGTATATTTCACTTTTTATGATATTTTAAGATTTTCTCGTAGTCTCTCGTTTTTTATAAATTCTCTCTGTAAACCACAGCTGCCTTCATTTTTAGTGAAATTGTTAAGATATGTGATTTTCACTGATGAAGCTCGATCTTTAAAATGTTGTTTATTCCTTCCTACCAAATTAACTATTATTCGTTTACTTATATGGAAATCTGAAAGGTATTGTTTGGGAAAGAAATTTTCCAGAGGATAAGAATAATTTTCTGTACCTCCTTTGTCAACACCTATTAGTTTTCTGTTCAAAAAAAAAAATGAAAATGTAACTTATCAGATTTATAGATGATCCATATAACTATGATTCTTATTTTTAATGATATATTATGGGAAAGTACTAATGTCTTCCTTAGCACTTTTGAGCTAGAAGAGTATAAAATCCTAAGAAAGCCTGGTATATTAATCATATGTTTTTAGCTCTTTATGTTGATACACTGAATTCTGTAAAGCTGTCTAAGAAAAGAATTGATTGTTTTCTTTACTGTTTCTGCTACTTTATTTTAAACTACTCAATGTAGTGAATGTATCACATTTACTTTTGTATCTCTATTACTGGATACAAAGCAGGAGCAATGTTTGTCGAATAGATTATAATGCTCTGCATAGGAATGCTACGTATGTACATTCATGAAATGCTTTTTAGTATAAGTTGTCTGTGGATTAGAGAATTAAGTAGACTGTTTCCCATTAAATTATTAAAAACTAAAATTGGCTGATACGACAGTAAAAAGAAAATAATTATATATATATTAAACTTCGGAATAAGAATTAAAATGAGTTGCCTAAAAGGCAAGAACATAGTTTAAAAGACTTCTTAAATCTTATTTGGTCATAAAAGTATTTTTAGAGATGATATTCTATTTCTATAATTGTTTTCAATTTTACTAAGAGACCATGATTAAGAAAATGCTGTTGAAATTGACACATTCACCTGAGTTTCATTGTGTGGATTTAGTTTGCAGGAGGGTTCCTATTTGTTGTCTCATGCAGCAGAAGATTCTTCACTCCTGATCTACAAGACCTCTGATGGAAAAGTTACTAGGACAGCGTACAATTTGCATAAAACACATTGTAGCCTTCCTGGTGTACCTTCCAGTCTCTCAGTTCCCTGGGTTCCGTTAGATCCCAATCTGTTATTACCATATCATATCCATCATGGAAGAATACCTTGTACTTTTCCACCTAAATCAATAGGTCCCACAGGACAAAAGGTAAGATCTTTTTTGAAATTAAATGTTTCATTAGGTTGTTTATTATTAATCTGTTTCACTGATTATACAGTATTTCAACCTGTTGTCCACATTTATCATATTAATCACACCACCATTCTAAAAACAACATCCATTGGAAGGGTAAACAAAATTGTATTCTCTACTGAGTCCAGTCATTATGTCAGTCGGACTTTCTATTTTTGTAAGGTTTATAAGTCAGCTAAATAAAGGTCTACCAGCTTGCCCAGTGGGAGCATGAGTATTAAGGCATCAACATGGTTAAATATGTTTCTATGATAAGCAAAGTTATGTTTTTTATAATTTTTATTTATGATGTTGCTTCATTTCATTAAATATTTGAGGCAATTTACAGAAGAATATATACAATAAAATTACGATACAATTAAAAATTGATAAGTAGGATATAGAAAAAAATAAAAACAAGTGTTAGTAATTAGGGAATGCAGTGCCTTATTAAAAGTACAATAAAATATTAAGGACTAAATTGTGTTTTGCTAAGTATTGTATAACTCAATATTAATTGAGTTATGATTAATATTACTCTCTTTATAGAATCCTTCCCAGCAATACCATTGAATGATTTTTTTCTGTCTGAAACTTCTATAAAGCCATGGCTAGAAATACTCTTCACCATGTCACTCATTATTTATGTCATGTAAGAAATTCCAATTTGAGTTTAATTGTAATAAGTTTTGTTCTTTGCAAATCTGAATGTTCAGGAAACAAAAACCCAGTGTATTTTCCTTCCCACCTGCCAAAAATATTTGAGTCAAAGTTATTGTCTGAGTTCTGTAATCTTCTCAAGATATGTGCCCCAGAACATCTATCACTATGGATAATTCTGTTCTTTTTTACTATGTTATAGTAAATTAATCTGTAAATGTCCTCCAGTCTTTTGAGAAATAGCTGGAGGGCAAATACTGAACTTTTTTTTTTTTTAATAATCTACAGTAAAGGAGTTGTTTATATGTTTCTCATTTCTCTACCCTAATGTTACTGTTTGGAAAGATTCTTTTAGAAATGA